ACCACTATTTACAATAACAAAGTTTCCACAGCACAAATAAACAAATACATAGTGTGAAAGCCTTCACACTGGTGCTTTCTCACATGAGGCTTCTCTCACACCGAGGTTTACCTCACACTCCTCAGGACAACACCACTATTTACAATAACAAAGTTTCCACAGCACAAATAAACAAATACATAGTGTGAAAGCCTTCACACTGGGGCTTTCACACATGAGGATTCTCTCACACCGAGGTTTACCTCACACTCCTCAGGACGACACCAGCTTTGGCCCACTGATTCTAAAAGGTTTCGGCCTACTCACTCTTTCAGTGCTTGACTCATGCTTTTGTAATCAAAAATACCAGCTAATTTTTAATATTCCCCTCGTCTCCCACTCTAGATGGTCTCGAGTCTCACCCGGGATGTTCTTCTCTTCTCCTGAATTCAAATTCCCATTTAGATGTGAGGCTTTTCAAAAAGTAAACATGGGAAAACTCCTCCCTCCGGATTTTTTGGAGACTCCATTCCTGACAGCTGCTGTGGCTTCTCAACGCTAATCAAGCTTGCCAGTTGCAACAATCACACTTGCTTCAAACAGACAAGGGTTCTTTCTTCCACCCTGGACATTATTCCACAGGGATATGTATACTCCACAGATATGTATTATGGCTACCCGGCCGGTAAGCTGTTGGGAATTGTGCGAGTGGGAATCCAAAACACCTGGCGAATCGCACACTTTCATAGATATACAGGAAAGGTTTTCATGGGTATAATGATAATAATAATAATAATAATAATAATAATAATAATAATAATAATAACCCTTTATTTGTGCCCCGCTACCATCTCCCGAAGGACTCAGTGCGGCTTACAAGAGGCCGAGCCCAAGTACAACAATAAAAACAGCAGCAACAACAACAACACAGTAATTCAAAAACAAAAGAAAAACAAAGCAATAACATTAACAACATCTAATGATGCAATTAAAAACAATGGCTGGGCCAAATGTAATAATTAAAATTAAAAAGTGCTGGGCATGACAAGGTGGGGCCACCACCGAGAAGGCCCTGCCCCTCGTCCCCACCAATCGCGCTTGCAATGCAGGTGGGATCGTGAGCAGGGCCTCTCCAGATGAACGAAGAGATCGTGTGGGTATGTTGTACCACACACCATACATTTTGTTTTTATTCTAATTTATGTATGCACCCGCATCTCCAAATTACTGTGTTGTGAAATGATGCACAGCCAAAAAATGTATCACCAATATGAAATGTTTGGAAAGCTCTGTCAAAGAGGAAGAACGGAATAATAACATGTGACGATGATACTCGTGACAAAGGAAAGAAACCAAGGTATCTGCAAGAGAGGGCACGGAGCTCAGCGGGTCACCCAACCAGCCTAGACTTGGCTTCGTTACTCACGCCTGTGCCGTGGCTTCCGCAGGTAGACCTCCTCGTCATTTAACCAGACGGCGCCCTGGATTTGGTGGGAGCGCAGCTTCTTGCCAAGAGATGCCAGTTCGCTGTCCCAGGTCTCCGAGGGCAGGTGAGCAAAACGCTGCCGGCAATACCCGTCCGCGTGCCACCAGTCCAGGGCGGAAGAGACGTACTCGAACACCTCTCCGAATGTCTCCATGATCAGGCTGTCAGGGCCAGAAACTGGGAAAGGAAAAGGGCAGGGGAAATAAGAAAGTTGTTGTGGCTGAGATGTTCTCTGATGATGAGGATGATGGGATTCAGATTCCTGGCTCTTTTTCTGTGCCTCAGATCTCTGGGCCTGTTTCTAGGTCTTTTTCTGAGGCTCCCACAGACAGGGCAGAGTCAACACAGTGGTTCTCAGAAGAAAGGAATGTCAATAACGAAGTAGATAGCGAACAGGTGGAGAAGCCTTCCCATGCTGATACTGAAAGTGAAGAAAGCCTTGATAGTGACCTGACCTGGCAAGCCCGTCTTGATTTGTGTGTCAGGAGGAGTTCTCGCCTAGCCAGCAGAGAAGAAGCCAGCTCGCAGAAAGGTCATCGCAATGCTTTCATGTTGGTGAGAGCATAACGTTTTCATGTTAGAAAGGTATTTAGGCTTGCAAATGGAGTGAAAGTGTCAGTTCAACGTAGCTTATTAGCCTGAAAGCTTCATGGAATAACCTTAGCTGTAAAGCAGTACGCTTGGGATTTCTTGAATTGTAATTCTTGGGGCAATTGTTTCATTGCTTGTACCTGGGACTCTGTTTTGAACTTTGCCTATAGGATTGTGCCTCCTGTTTTTACCTGAAAATCTTTGGAACTATATTTTGCATTTAACCTAAATCTTGGGAACTTTTTAATGCTTATTCTTTATTTTGACTTGGACTTTTTCTTATAAAACTACAGCTCTTGTGTGGTGGTATTTGGAAGTAATCCGAAGCTTACTCTGAGTTGCAACAGAAGTGTGGAAGCAATCTGTCATGGAAGCAAGGCTGTCCCAAGTACAGTGTTCCCTCACTTATTGTGGGTGTTACGTTCCAGGACCACCCACGATAAGTGAAAATCTGCAAAGTAGGGATGCTATAGTAGGGAGCTGCTTCCGCCTTTGCGGCCCTCCCTCCCTCACCCACCCTCCTCCCTCACTCGCTCGCAACTCACCGGACCGAGTCCTGGTTCTGCCACTGGGACCTGGCCCAGTGAGTAGTGAGTGAGCAAGGGAAGGAGGATAGGTGGGTGAGCAAAGGAGGGAGTGTGGGCCGCTCACTCACTCCTCCTCCCTCGCTCACCCACTACTCACCGGGCCAGGTCCCAGTGGCAGAACTCACCCAGCCTCACTTGCTTGCTCACTTACCAGGCCGGGTACCAAAAAACCGCGAAACAGCGAGTCCACGAACAGCGAGTCCACGAAAAGCCAACTGTTAAGTAGCGAGGGAACGCTGTATTTCGCTGCCTAAGGTGAAGCAGCATGCAGTATCCAAAGACCTTAGCACATTAGAAGATATTTTTTTTCAAACTGGTCCCATTGCACAACACTATCCCGGTCCCATTGGTATTCCATCTCAAACTTTGCAGATTGAATCCTAATCATTTTTTTTAAAAAAAATACTATAGATCAGTGGTTCTCAACCTTCCTAATGCCGCGACCCCTTAATACAGCTCCTCATGTTGTGGTGACCCCCAACCATAAAATTATTATTATTGCTACTTCCTAATTGTAATTGTGTTACTGTTATGAATCATAATGTAAATATCTGAAATGCAGGATGTATTTTCATTCACTGGACCAAATTTGGCACAAATGCCGTCATGTCAGCCACATGACCTTGGAGGTGTCTATGGACAACACTGGCTCTTTGGCCTAGGAACTGAGCACCAACTCCCAGAGTTGGACTTGACTGGAATTAATGTCAGGGGAAAACTTTTACCTTACCTTATCCGATATGCCCAAATTTGAATACTGGTGGGGTTGGAGAGAGAATTGATTATGTCATTTGGGAGTTGTAGTTGCTGGGATTTATAGTTCACCTACAATCAAAGAGCATTCCGAACTCCACCAACAATGTCAGGGCAAAACTTTTACCTTACCCTACCCAATATGCCCAAATTTGAAAACTGGTGGGGTTGGAGGGAGAATTGATTATATCATTTGGGAGTTGTAGTTGCTGGGATTTATAGTTCACCTACAATCAAAGAGCATTTTGAACTCCACCAATGAAGGAATTGGACCAAACTTGGCACACAGAACTCCCACGACCAATGAAAAATACTGGAAGGGTTTGGTGAGCACTGACCTTTAGTTTTGGAGTTGTAGTTCACCTGCATCCAGAGAGCATTGCAGACTCAAACAATGATGGATCTGGGCCAAACTTGGCATGGATAGTCAGTATGCCCCAATGTGAACACTAATGAAGTTTGGGGAAAATAGACATTTGGGAGATGCAGTTGCTGGGATTTATAGTCCTGCCGGCGGGAGAGCAATGCAGGTGAGGGATGCCTCGTGCAAGGTGGAGGAGCTGACCTGGAAAGAATGGCTGTTTCCCTGGCATGGGCTGGCAGCCATTTTGAGGAGGCGGAGGGGCAGGGCCAACCGAGGCGCCTTCGCGACCCCCAAAAAATGGCCCAGCGACCCCCTTGGGGGTCGCGACCCCCAGGTTGAGAACCGCTGCTATAGATCCTTCCATGACTGAAACACTGTTTTGTGAGCTTTGGGAGACCAGGATTGAAGCTGCATCTCTTGAACACGGTGTGCAGTACTACGTCTTCTTGAGCGGCCTTTATAAGATGGTGTTCTTAACCTCCAAGCAGAGTCCCTTCGTGGTCGCCAAATGAAGTCAATACGGACTTTAGGAGGGTCCCCCCAGTAAGAGAGACCCCCTAGGACCGCACCAAAGAGGGTCTATGACCTTGGCGAGCCGTCAGAGAAGCCTGATTCCAGCAATTTTATTAATATTAATAAAATTGCTGGAATCAGGCTTCTCTGACGGCTCGCCAATGTCGTAGACCCTCTTTGGTGTGGTCCTAGGGATCTCTCTTACTGGGGAGACCCTCCTAAAGTCCGTATTGACTTCATTAGGAAAATCTGTATGCATCCCATCAACAACAATTCTTTTTGTGGTGGTTCTTGTGAATTGGCATATCTTTGTCCCTGACAGTTCAAAGAGATATCTCGGTATATCAGTCTAGCAGGAAT